TCTTGTTGTTTTTCCCCCAGGGGAGCCCATGCAGTACGGCGTCTACCCAGTAGAGAGAGACTGCTACCAGAACATGAATAAAGACTACAAGGCTCTCAGGTACTTCAGCAAACACACACTCACCCAGTTACTCACACACAACATTAGCCATTATGATGGCATGAGCCTGCACAGAAACAGGTCATTACATTAGTATATGTTAGTGATTGTCAGCAAAAAAAAAACCCCACTTGTTTATTTGCTTGTCAATTTGGACAAAATAAAAAATCAGGGGAAAAAAACATATGCAATGGATTAAGAAATATAAGTGTTGATACATACACTCATGTTGCACAATAATTAAGGCAATGTTGATTTGCCACTGTAAAAAACATTATCGGTATTGTTTGTAGACGAAAGAAAATATACCATTGTTTTTAATCCATCCCCTGTTTGTTTTGTAACTTTCGCTGTTTCTCTGTTCAGCATGAACAGCTTGTACCGTAAAGAAGTGTGCCAAAGCCCCGACCCCCCCGCGCCCAGCTTCGCTCCGAGTTTTGCTGCCGTGGCCGCAGGAGTAGACCGGAACATGGGTAAAGATATTCGTAGCAGATACATACTTTATGTTTTTTAAAGAAAAGCAAAGTCTTAGATAAACTTCTGTCTTCAACAAGTAAGATCTGTGCGTTACTTCTGCTTTCTAATAAAGAGTGGTCGTGTGCTCCCTCAGATCTGACAGGTCAGTATCTGCCTGAAGAGACGTGGTCCGCTCCATCCATCCCCCTCACCAATGAGTTCAGATACAACACCACCGAAGCCCTGCCCTACATACCTCAGCCACCAACCTCCGCCTCATACAACGGGTAAGTGTTCCAGCGCTGGTTTGTTCAAATAAAGTCATCCATATTTTTATATTAACTATGGATGAAATGTATTGTTCTGTGAAAGAGGTAACTTTTTATGTCAAACAGCAGATAGACAACGTTTTTGAGAACTAATTAAACAAGTTTGGACCTTAAACAACTTGAAGAGCCAGTTGATTTCAAAAGGATTTGGTTAAGACAAAAAAAGAGAGTGAAAATAAGAAAAATACATGACTCCACATAAATGCCCGTGTCTGCCGGATGTGAAAAAAGGAACTTGATAAACATCACACTGTTATGTTAGATTTACAATTTTCCACTTTTTGTGTGTTTCCTCTGCCCCCAAAGTGTCAGAAAATAATCTGCTGCCGCGTTTTTATCATATTTTATATATTTATACTACTTCATATACTGTGTATCTCTGATCTGTAATATATTAATTGTACTCCTTATAAACCTCTGACTTAATGTACTCACCCAGGTACTTGCTTTTTACCAAAACTTAACCTTAAATAGTTTCTGACCAAATTAAAATTACTTTCAAATGTGTATCTTCTATTTAAAAACAACTTATGCCAGGGTAATGTGTGTATGCATCTTTGCAACCTGACCCCTGTATCTAAACGGCTAAAAAATGTCATTAATAAGATACTGTACATCTCTCCTGGCGTGATAGCTGATACCGGTTTACACTTTGAATAATTACCCTCGTGTTGCTGCTGTAATGTGTCTTTGTGTTTAATCTGTCGCTGTTAAAGCCGTCCGTTTTAAATGTTTCCTTTTTTCTGCAGGTTTACCTGGAGTAGTGCCAACAGCCAGTGCAACAGTCCCTACACCTACTGTGAGGAAAGGAAATACATAGGTAAAAATCGTACTTATTCATTAATAAAGCTATGTGTTTGTACCACAATGTTCTGTATTGAGATTTAATGAAATCAAATTAAACTCTTACTGGGACAAACATCGGCTCTGCTTAACTTAGGTTTCTCTCTATTGAAATAGTGTTTGTTCTAATCATCTCGTAGGTAATGGAACATTTCCAAGTGGTTATCCCGGTCAGGAGGTCCAGCATGCACACAGCAACCAGAGCAGCTGGAGTGAGGAGCCGCCGCAGGAGTCTCCCTCAGCCTGGGACACAGCAGCCTGTGTGGGCAGCAAGGTGAGGAGGCACGGTGCTCAAAGGCTTTAAACAGAACTGAGGTATCCAGCTGCTCTCCTGCTGCAGCTGGATCCTGTTAATCATATTCAGGGCGGGTTCTTTTAGGTTTGGGAGCAGGTCTGCAACTAACGAGTCCCACTATCAACAAATCCGCAGATTATATTAATGATATTTATAAAAAGCCAGAAAACAGTGAAAAAGGCTTCCCTAGAGTTCAATGTGATATCTTCAATGGTCTGGTTTTGTTTTGATATTAAGTTGATTCATAACAGAGAGTTTGTAGTATAAAGACCAACTCAACCTGCAAAAGTTGGCTATTCTAGTGTTCACATGTTCAGTTTAGTATCATGTGACACGACATTAAACTGACCGTGAGGACTTTTAGTTCTTAGTTACTTCTGATGCGTCTGTGCTGTGATTACCGTGTATGGCATTCCCACATGCATTGACACAACCGCACTTTTTTATTGTTGCATTATGAGAGTTACAGAAAAATGTACTTGTGAAAATTGAGAAAGTACACACAACGCACTGGTGTGTGTTACATGAATTAGTCCAATCAGACAGCTTGTTGCTGCCTAAAGAACTGAGATGGTCAAGATTAATTTTACCTGCCACCCCACCCCTGTGCACAGAAAGCCAGACACTGTGTGTGAACATGTATACAGCCAGATTAAATGCAAAACTGGATAATTGTGTGTACATGACAATAACAAAGACAGAGGAAGTTCTCATCTCTTTTAACTAATTTGCTGAAGTTGCAGAGCAGAATGAGGAACTGGAGTTTTGAGCACTTTAACAAAGCTACAGTTTACCAGAATTTGTGTGTTTTTCAGCACATATACAAAATTAGATTTCAACTCGTAAATACAAACTGCAAATGCAGCTTCTGTTTTTTTTTCATTTTAATAGCCCACATTTGTGGAAGTGGATTTTACGTCCCCCAAGAAAGGCAGGCATCAGATACTTTTAATTGTTTTACTCTCAACCGCTGGTCTCAAAAGTTCTACCTCAAAATACCAGTATCCGTCTGGCTGAATGCTTAAGGTAATCATTGAAGGGAAACTGTGTAATGACATTTAAAAAAACTAAAACTATGATTAGTGAGTACTTAAAACTACACACACTAAAGTGGCACTTAAAGCTACATAAAACTGCCCAAGAGAATGCATTTCAATCGCAAATCTTTCAAGCATTTTGCATCTACTTGTGCTTGATTTCTGTGCTCTTGCATGTTTGAGTCAGGTACTGTAAGAAAAACCTACAGCAGTAAGTCATGGCTTTACTGGCTCTTATTTATTAGAAAATATATCTTATTGATATTGTATTTTTATATTTTGAGAGTGTGACATGTAGAAGTAGTCAGGGAAGTCAAAGCTCTTCAGCTGGTATCAAACAATGGACATTGCCGTTACATGGCGTATGACATAACCACCATCACCAAAAGATGAGTATTTTCAGTTATGATGGAGGGAAACTAGAGCGAGAAGGTCATTTAATTTGAGCCGGAAAAGAGAGACAAGATTAAAATGCAGGGAAACGACAGCCAGGTCATCACTGCAGGGATCAGACAGCCGGTGATAGCAGAGCACAGAGACAGGTGAGGTTAGAAAAGGTCATAGACGTATAATACTTTGGACGGCACATAAAGTGGCAACAATATCTCAGAAAAAGTGTCTCAACAGATAATAATCACCTCTCTTTCTCTTCGCAGCCATACTTCTCGGGAACCCGCAGCCTCTCCCCCATGTCCAGCCTGTTCGGATCCATCTGGACGCCTCAGAGCGAGCCTTATCAGAGCCACTTCCACCCTGAGCGCTCAGCCCCGATGTCCCCCGTGTCCCCCGTGTCCCCCGTGTCCCCGATCACCCCGCCTCACTCCCCCCTTCACCCGGGAGCCAGAGGTGACCTGCGCACCGATGCTGTACTCCAGCTTCAACCCCTTCGGCACACACATGAACCTGGACATATGGAACTCTTCCTCCAACCGCAGCTCCAACTCACAACTCTCCAACGACTCTGGCTACTGTGGAGATGTTTAAAAAAAAAAAACAGAAAGCGGCACACCTTAACAATAATTGCAAGCATATAAAAACATGTTATGTAAAAGAAAGGAAATAAAAATGAATGTTCTTTTATCATTAATGGGGAAAATGTGAATATTCCTTCTCTTTTATGTTCCCATTTTCAAATGTTAAATGTTGTGAAAGGTTAAGCATTTGTTGTATATTTTTCTAGATGTTTTGCAGTTTTGATCATAGAAAATAAAAAAAGGTTTTGTACTTGAAAAACATCATTTTTCCGTTAACTAGAAAATGTGGTATTTACCTAGTATTTACCTTATCTGACTCCCTTCGTCTCTCTGTTTTGGCTGCACTCTTTGACGATGTCAATCACCTACCAGAGGCCATAAGTCTGTGTGCGTCATCATTTACTTTGCAAAGGTCAAGGGAACGAAGACGCTGCCCTCTAAGGTGTCCAATGGGAGAAAGCATACTAGAAAACCTTCTTCTTGCTGGTGCCCAATGGCATGCAGCTGGTCCATTTATTTATTAGTATTTTGGCTGCCCCTCCAACAGCAATGGTTGTCTGTATGTGTGTGTGTATATATATCATACAGTCTATGGTGTATACATATATAAATATTAACTTTTTTTTATGAAAGAAGAAAGTCAGAAAAGTAACAGACCAGGCTAAAGGTATCTGCAAATTTGATCTGCAGATACCTTTTGTTCCTTCCTTTAGGTAAGGAAAGAGGTAAAACAATATATCCTGTTCTTGACTAACAGAGAGCTCCATTGTAGTTCAAGGTGCAAAAAAAGAAAATCGGGAAAATGCAATTCATCAGTCGTCTTTACCCGTAAACGGATGTTTATATTCCTGTCACTCTACTTCCTAATGTGTCTGGCTGCACAAGAGGGGGAGGGGTATAGAGAAGTGATGCTGAAAGGTATAAAAAGCAAACATTTTTCTCTAATGCCCCAATTGTGCCGAAGAAGAAGAGATTTCAGCTGTGAGACTCCAGGACTCATCAAGGTATTTTGAATTTATAAGCAGTATTGATTAATATGTTATGATGTGGTAGATCATAAACTGTAACATTTAAAAATGCTATCCATTGGTTGGATTTGTTTAAATCAGACATGTACATGGAAAATCATTTTGCTATTCTCAATTTTGAAACGTCATATATATATATAAATAGTTTGGAGACAGAAACAAACATTTTTCTATTCAATGTTATAGTTTCTTAATTGGTTTTATTTCAGAACAGAAATGTTTTTATTTCCCAGAGTTTCTCCGTGTTCTAATTATCCAAACTACCCTTGGGAAGATAGTCATTTTATACGTATTTTCTATGTTATAGTAATCTCAGATGATGTCAGAGTAGTTTGATAAATATAACCATGTTTAGCTTCAGCTAACAATATTGTTAAAAAAATAATCACGGATTGTTTTGCACAACAGTTTGCAATTAAAGGTCTGATGGTTGTTTTTAATTTGTTTTGTTTTTAGGTATCAAGATGAGATTCATGACCTTTCTCATGTGTGTCCTTCTGCTGATGCATCAAAGCATCCCTCTCTCCAGACCACAGTGTCACAGCTGTGAACAAACGTCCTGTAAATGCTCGAGACAAAACCTGACAACGGTCCCCGCAGCCCCCTCAAAGCTCATCACTGGACTCGATCTCTCATTCAACAGCCTGAAGACAATAACAAAGGATGACTTTGTTGCATTTGCCAGTTTACAGTCTTTGATCCTGAATAACAACATAATCCAAAAGATCCAGGAGCAAGCATTTGTCCCGCTGACTGATTTACAGAAATTAGACTTGTCTTTCAACACACTGGATTCACTGTCTGCTGGATGGTTTGAAAGTCTTGTTTCTCTTCAGAACTTGAATCTGTTGGGGAACAAATACAAAATGTTGGGTCGAGGCAATCTTTTCCAGCCACTGAAGAAATTAAAGATCCTACATATTGGAGGATCGGACTTGCAATCTGTCGGAAACAGTGACTTTTCTGGCCTCAGTGGTGTTGAAGAGGTGATTTTTGATGGAAACAATCTGCTAAGCTACACAAAAGGAAGTTTGAGACAAATTGGGCCAATTAAATATGTGAGCCTTGGTCTGAATGGCCCGTTTTCAAGAAATCTCACACTAGTAAGAGATATACTGTCTGATGTTGTACACCCTGACACAACCCTGACTTTTACTGACACATGGTTCTCCACAACTGAGCAAATGTCCCCATTTAAATTAAGCAGAACCACAAGTATTGTTTTTAAAAATGCTACCATGACGTTTGCACCATTTTTTGCATTATTAAATAGTCTGTTCTACTCTAATGTAACTATGTTGGCACTTGAAGATTCTAAATTCTTAGGTCATTTTGAGGGGGAGGTGTTATCTCCCCCACAAATTAAAAGTTTTCAGGCAGTTGTCTTAAAAAACGTTGATATCCCTGAGTTTTACAGCTTCCCTACCCAGTTTCTCCTGTACACTCTGGTGAAAGCGGGGCGAAGGTTGTCTGTGATAAACTGCAAGTTGTTTCTCATTCCTTGTAAATACTCTGCTTTTCTGAAGGTGCTGGAGTATTTGGACATCAGTGACAACCTGTTAAGTGATATAGCTCTTAGCCAAATGATGTGCGATGGCAATGATGGGGATAGGAGACTGCAAACGCTCAATATCAGCAGGAATCACCTGCAGTCAATCAACAGTCGGCTTTTCACCAAACTGGATAGACTTAAAAACATTGACATGAGTGGAAATACATTCCATAGTATGCCTGAGACTTGTTACTGGCCGTTAAATCTCCAATTCTTAAACCTTTCATCAACACATTTAACAAAAGTGACCCCTTGTTTGCCATTGAGTTTACACATCCTCGATCTATCAGACAATGACTTGACTGCCTTCATGATCAAACTACCATTTCTAACAGAGTTATACATTTCTGGCAACAAGATCAGTAGTTTGCCAGATGGGCGTGTATACCCTCTTCTCGCATTTCTCTCCATTCGGAACAACAGTTTACAGACGTTCAGCAGCAAAAATCTAAATGATTACAATAATCTGAGCAGTCTGGAGGCTGGTACTAACACGTATGTCTGTTCATGTGACTTTGTAGACTTAATGAGGAGTGGCTTGACAAATCATCAAGTCACATTTGTTGATGGGTTGAAGTCGTACGTCTGTGACTCCCCTGACGCTGTGAGGGGAAAGATTGCGGCGGACGCGAGGTTGTCAGTCTTTGAATGCCACACGGCTTTAGCTTCTTCTCTACTCTGCTCAGGCATCCTGCTGTTCTTTCTGCTCGTTGTTGGTTTGTGTCACAAATTCAGCGTTGTGTGGTACATGAGGATGACCTGGGCCTGGCTGAGAGCCAAGAGGAAGCCAAAGTTAAAAAAGGGAGAGCTTGAGTATGACGCCTTTGTGTCCTTCAGTGAAATGGACTCTGGCTGGGTGGAGGCACATCTGGTCCCGGAGCTGGAGCAGGTGGAGCCTCGTCTCCGGCTCTGCCTCCACAAGAGAGACTTTGTTCCTGGAGGCTGGATCTTGGACAACATCATGGACGCTATCGAGAAAAGTCACAGAACTCTGTTTGTCCTCTCTCAGAGCTTCATCAGGAGTGAATGGTGCAAGTACGAGCTGAATTACACCCATTTTAGATTGTTTGACCACAATGACGACACAGTGGTGCTGATTCTGTTGGAGCCCATTGACAAAGAGACCGTCCCCAAAAAGTTCTGCAAGCTGCGGAGAGTCATGAACTCCAGGACGTACCTGGAGTGGCCTGAGGATCACGATCAGATCCCCGGGTTCTGGCACAGTTTGAGAAGAGCGATCAAAAAACCTGAGACTGGTAATGGGAACGTTGTACAGTTTGACAATGTGGAATTAATTTAGGGTTTTGCTTTTTTTTGTTGCTTTTTTACTCAGTAACTTTTGAGAGCCTTTAAGTTTCACTAATAGTTTGATAAATGTGACAAAGCATAAGTTTGTAATGTCTCAATAAAATATCTGTGTTTATTATTTGTGCCTCCTCAATATTTACAATATCAAAGCCACATCCAGGCACAGTGAATTAACTGTAAGTATGCATTCCCAATCATCTCAGAGGGAATTGATAATCATGTATGCCATATATATTTTCAAAGTATGTACAAACTTTTAAAATATCTTAAATATATGCGTGTTTCTTACATTTGTAAAACAGCGCTGTTACAACCTTTTTGGGAGACAAATATCCATGACAAAACAACCGGTGATGTACTCGATAGCTAAAGGGCGATTGACTGAGTTTTTTAACCAATTGTAATTGGTTCAAAAAGGAATATATATAATAATAATTTATATATATTTGACTTAGTCATATACTTTTGAATTATTATTTCATTATGATGAATTTTGTTCATCACGTGTGTGTGTGTGTGTGTGTGTGTGTGTGTGTGTGTGTGTGTGTGTGTGTGTGTGTGTGTGTGTGTGTGTGTGTGTGTGTGTGTGTGTGTGTGTGTGTGTGTGTGTGTGTGTGTGTGTGCGTGTGCGTGTGCATGTTCATGTTCTTGTGTGCCTAAAAGCGTGTGTAATTCATTGTCAGGCTCTTGAGAGCTGACATATTGCCGCTATTGATCTTTACTTCTAAAATCAACACAGAAGCCTGGATACTGATGACAGGCAGGCCAGGGGAGTTAGGGTGTCCAGATAACACACACACACACACACACACACACACATTAATGCTCAATATACACATATAAACAGAAGCACATACACATATTTGCAGAGTTACAGATGTCTGCAAGGGTCAGTAAAATCTGGTGTACAGGACTTAATCAGTGAAACTTAAAATCATCAAATCCTTGCTTTCATGATTGACACGTCATGCACCTGCATGTTATTCATAAAGTTTCTTTATTTTGTGTTATCTACTTTAAGTAAACTGACTATTTTTTTAGGTTAGCTGTTACTTTAAAGCTAGATTAAAGGGAAAAGCCACGTCATGATTTTTGGGATATCATTTAAGATAATTCTCGATGCTCTTTATTAACCGAATCAACAATAATTTGATCCTTTCTATTTAGTGTTTGCATGTTTAAAATCCTGATTCCATAGCTCTATATATGCCCTAAAACTTAAAGCACATCAATGAGCCACTCTGTTGCACTTAGTTACTGTCGTGTATGTAGTGATTGAATCCCACATATACCGCCGTGCTGGATTCAATATTTACAGGAGCCCCACATTTGTGTAACACCCATTACTGAAATTGGTCCCAAACAAATGCCCTGTGTATCCCTGATTCATATTGTTAAAAATGTTGTTGACTGGTTGGGGAAAAGATGATATTAAGAGATGGACCAAAGCTTTTTGACAACAACAAAATAATTATGACAATAATACAAACCTAACCATGTAACCTTCTCTATAGATTGAAGTAAATGTATTTAAGCAGCTTTACAATGCAAGGTGCAAATCTGCTCATCCGTAGCAGTTTGTTGCTCGAGAGCACTTGAACTAAAAGCACCTGCGTCTGTGCTCCAAAGTTTAACATGGGTAACACTTATGGTGAATCTGTCTACAATAATAATTTTGAAGACAAGGATTGGCAGTTTGGGAGGTTGACTGTTGTGACTTTGAACAGAACATTATAGTGCGTCATGTTCTGAGGACAGCAGAGCAGGCTGAACACTATCTCCATTTGCTGATGTCCGTTCAGAGTGTTACCCTTTAAAAGTCAAAACAGCATATGATTTGATTTCATGCTCTTTTATCCTTTAACTAGTCTGATAACAGGGACGGAAAAAAGCAATGATGTGTGTGTGTGTATGTGTATAAATACTCTCCATCATCCCCTAGCAGAGGATCCATTAGCCTTGGACCCCCTCCCCGGTTGCCCAGTGATAAAGTAAACAATGTGTGTTTGGCCAATCCGGCATGCAAATATTTGTTCTGAAAGCTGCCTCATCCGACTGCAGACACACACACACGTCTGCAGCCGCGTGCTGAGGTATATATAAAGTGATGATTCTGACAGTCCAGTATTTCATATGCACACACACCTTCAGAAAAGAGGATCCCTCAATGACCCGGGACAGACCTTTCCTCTGACTTCAACTAATATTCACCTGAACCTCGCAGCTAAGGTAATAAAACATTTACTTTTACATTTAACTTTGAATTATCAAAATATCAAGAAACTGCTTTTCTATTTGATTCTAACTGTGTTCCTCCTCTGTAACTGTCTCTCCAGTGTTAACAAGACAACATGGCGGCTGGCGTCATCAGAAACTTCCTCCTTCAGGCCCCGATTCCATCTTACTTTCCTCTGATTTTCCAGCACTCTCCATGTACGGAAGATGAAGATGTGGAGATGCTGGAGGAAAAGCCAGAGTTGAGGGAAGATGAGGAGGAAAGAGAGATGGAGGAGGAGGACGAAGAGGACGAAGATGAAGAATCTGAAGCTCAGGAGGAAGAGGAGGAATGTTTGGAGGAGGTTTTCTTGAATCCTGCCCACTTCTCTTTGGATGTGACCAAGCAGCTGCTCAGGTTTGCAGATCTCATCAGCCGGGACGTCCAGCGGTACTTCGGTCGCTGCTCAGGTGATCAGGAAGCTTGTGACATCTACAGCGACTCGGTGTCCGTGAAAACCAGCGGTCGTCTGCGTTACTATGACGACCTGCTGAAAATTGCAAGAGCTGGAAGTCCAGAGGAGCCAGAGAACAGCTTGAAGACTTGTGCTGAGGATCGAGGAGACGGGGTTGCTAAGGGCAGCGGTCTGGGGCCCCTGGCTGAACTGTTCAAGCACAAGGGCCCGAGTCAGGTCCGCTGCAGACCCATGGTCCAGAGACATCTCCCTCTCAGTTTCTGGACCGAGCCGAGCCCCTGCTGCTCTATGGTCAGTTTCAGTAACTCACCTGACCTGACGCACACAAACAGTGACACACCTTCACAGGACAACACAGACGCTAACACACACATGCAATACGACCCGCTCACACACCACAACACACACACCCTCGACAGCACGCAGCTGGACTTCAGCGACCTGCTGGCCAACTGGGATGCCAACCCGGAGCTCACACACACACTGACAGAGAACACACACACACTGACAGAGAACACACACACACTGACAGAGAACACACACATGCAGCATTGAACACAACAGCCTGCTGGGACTGAAAAAAACTCTATTTATGTTCATTTCAACTTTGATATTTACTTGTAAAATGTTTAATAAAAAAAAAAATCAATATGTGTTGTGCGCAGTATATCTTATATGTATGTGTTTGAAAATGCGCCATATTAGGTAAATGGTTATGATTAGTCCCACAAATTTCAAGTTGCTTAAAATATGTCCAAAGCAAGGGGGACCAGACGCATCTGCAGGAGCAAATAAAACATGAGCTTGCAAAATGTTCTGGTTTCCAGGCAAGGATATTGTTTCTAAAAAGAAAATCTGTCGCTCTACAACCAAGCCCACTTATTTACTTTATCATAGATCATATTTCCTCCTGTTTGTAATGCTAAATCTAATTTCTTACAATTTCTTTCTTACTTTTATTCATTTGGAAGAGGAACCTTCCGTTAAGTCGTCCTTGTTGACCCTAGGTTTAACTCCTCACCTTGCCGTAGTGATGTCCTAGTGTACTCCACTTCTCTGTCGGGGGTTGTTACAGCTTCAATAAATAACATTTGTGATCTCTCCCAGCTGAGGGTAATATTTTCATGGTCATTTATAATTTTTTGTTTGTTTATTTTAAGGGGTTAAGGTTTAAAGGGATATATTATAAACAGAAATGATGTGATAACTGTGGGGGAAACTTCTGAAGCAATTGGAAACAGGACTCAGAGAGACACGAGGAGAGCTGGAGCTTTGATGGCAAACACTGATGGTTTATTTGGAGTTACGGCCGGAGAATTGACGAGACAGGTGGTGTGCCACGAGTTGACACAGCGGTTGCCAAACCAATTCTGAAGAACTCTTCTGCAGCTCGAGGTTTTAACTAGTTCGCAGTGTAATAATCAGCATTCTTCATCAGCGAGACTAAACAAATATGGACCCTGAATCTAACTACCCTGCTGAAAAAACCAGCATAGACCAATTTAAGATGGTTGCTGGTTTTAGCTGGTGTTAGGCTGGTTTAGTTGGTTTACCAGCTGAACCAGCATAGACCAGCATGGATGTCATGCTGGTCTATGCTGGTTTTAGCTGGTAGTTAAGCTGGTCTATGCTGGTGAAGCTGGTATTTATGCTGGTCTACCAGCAGTCTTGCTGGATAAATTAATAAGAAAATGCTTAAATTAAGAAGACTAGAGAGTTTCGGCTGGAGAGTGCGTGCGGACCTGTCGGTTAGATGACAGGCGTGTGTAAGTCCTGCATCTGTATGAGACAAATGTGTGTAAAATGATACCGGGCGCTGTAATCACTCATCTGGTTACGTTATTACATTGACCACCCCACCGACCCAAAAAAAAGACGTGGTATTGGCTTCCCCTAATTCTTTACCCACGCCACGCTACTGTTCCTGACATCCAGGAAAAAGGTGAGATTCTAATCCATTTCAATGCCAAAAGCAAGTTATTGTTTGTCCTCCTGTGTTGTCTTATTTCCTTATCTTTCTTTCAGGTGTAACATCTAACAATGGTTGTACATGACAGAGACCTCCTCCCCCTCTTTGCTGTCCTACTAGTCAACCCTTCTGATCAGAGCCTTTCCTAAATAGTGGTAAGTTGTTTTACAGTTCAGTGTACGTTAATTTAGCAACTTAATGCTTTACTGCTGTTGAATAAACCCTATATTTGCTAGTGATTTTATTAAAACTATGATTTGCAATCTTTTTCATTCAAATTACAATAATCTTTTTGTTATAATTGTAAAACACATCTTAACATCCATCAGCAATCAATAAAACAAATCATCCAAAACAAAATAAAAGAAATCTGGACCTATTCTATTTCTTTTTATACAACAGCATCTATTGGGACTGCTCATTGATGTCATCAAGAGCCGAGTCTACCTTTTGTAGTCGGCCTCTTAGAATGTTTATAATTTCTTTGTCACTTAAAGGTGGGGTAGGTAATTTTGGAGAAACCAGCTCGAGATCGCTAGAATTTGAAAATACTCAGCCGGAAAAAATCTGCCACTTCCTTACAGAGCCCCTCCTCCAACACACACGAACGCGCACATGACCAATGAGGGCACGAGATAAGTTTGTGCACAGATGGAAGGCTGACAGGCAGGTAGGCCATCGTGCTTTTTACAGCGCCACAGCTTCCACAGATGACATTTTTTTATGTATTTATTGTCAAAGCATTTAATATATTCATTGCTATCGGGATGTTAAGAGCATTCCATGGAATATAACAAAAAGTGTTTCTGAAATAAATTACATACCCCACCTTTAACATTCCTATAATAATTAGTTTTTTTATTGTTGATATTGTTTTGTTCTTTATTTTGTTGTGAGAATCACTTTGCAATTGAGTAAGTACTATATAAATAGTTATACTAATATTATTGTTGTTACCATCATTACTATTATTAATAATGTTTTCTTTGTTTTCTTTATTCATCACTGCAGAAAGGATCATGCCAGCCCACATCAAACACCTGATCAAGAAGTTGTGAATCTTCAGTCAGAAAAGATGAAAACACCAGTTCCCTGTACATGGAACCATGCCTGTCCTCTGTTCCACATGTCTTCAGTCAGTTCTGGACTTCATGACTCGGACACTAGTTCTACCAAGGCTCATTAGAGGTAAGAGTGGTAGGAGAGGAGTGGAGTTATCTTTGTATTTAGGCTGCAAGTCGACAAAGGTGATCAAGTGCTGATGCTAATAATGATCCGATTCATTTGATATTGATTGTCTGCCAATACCGAATCCTGATCCGATTCTTCTATTTACCAGATAATACAGCTGCACCGTGTACACTAGCTCTATTGGTTTTTGCCATTGTAATTCACCATAAGCAATTGTTGACTGTAACGTCTATGCCAACCAACTGTAATTTGTAATGTATTTTACCATACTTTAACGGTTCTGGCAACCACAGCAGCCCAAATGTTAACGTAAATGTCAAGTTTTCTTTTTACAGTGTACTTATATCAGTACATTTATTTTCAGTTTGTTTCAAGAAGTGGCTTCAGCAGGCCAGATTGGGAAAGCCTGGACGCTACACACCGGGAAACATTATGGACATGAACAAGGAAAAACAAAAAACACTTTCTTTGTTGCCTTTTTCTTATCATACATAGAATTTTACTGTTTTTGTTACCATTTAAATATTGAATTCTATTTATTACTTTTATTTTAAATCAAATGCACCTGTTTTAGATAATATATTTATGTTGATGTATAGGTTGATTTGCAGGTTGGTTGTTATTTGTATAATTATTGTATTGTTACTGTGTATTTTATTATATTAACTAGCTATTTATTGCTATTTATTAAATTAAAATACTGTTATGAACACTATACAATGTCTTTATTTTGGTAGATACCAGAATACATGACACAATGAATCTTTGTAATATATGTATGTTCTCTGGTTTAAATAATCATACCAGTATTTAAACAATGTATGCTGGTCACCTGGAATCCTGGTAAGCTTCCTGCATGGTATATTTAATACAATTATTAAACATAAGCTGGTGATAGATGGATGCTGGTATGCTGTGTTTTTTTAGCTGGCCAGGACAGCTGGTTTAGCTGGTTTAGCTGGTTTAGCTGGTTTAGCTGGTTTAGCTGGTTTAGCTGGTTTAGCTGGTTCTAAATCAGCCAACCATCCAGCCTAATATCTACTGGCTTGTCAATTTAGGTCTAAGCTGTTTTTTTCAGCAGGGTAGAGCTCTCGTCCATAGGAAAGAATGTGCGCCAGGGAACCTTCGTCCCTGAACAGTAAACTACCTCATGGCGGCTTGTGCTCTGTCATAGACTGGCAACAACAATGCGCCCATAAGCTGCTCCTCCTTAAGAGAGATAGCAGCAATACCAAAGGCTGTAGAACTATGCCATGAGAAAAGAGACAAAACGATGAACTGTGTCGAAGGTTGAATACCTAAGCAAATTATTCCCTAACAATAACTAGAATATATACTAAGGATACCTTGTGGTGACGTTGTGGTAAAAGAATACACTTTTAATCTCAACTTTAAATGAAAAATGACAGTAAACTGTGTTTAACTGTTTGAGACTTCATCTCCAAATAGCCCTCAGTTCTCAATTTATCAAGTCATGTCGCTTCTATTAAACAATACAGAGGGGGAGGGGGGAACAGAAATAGTGAGATAAGACAAGTCCACATAATTACTGTGCACTTTCACGTTTTTAGGTAAATGAGGGTCTGATAAGGCCTTGATAAAAAGTTAAAATTAAATAAGTATACACATATACATGCTTCCACCTGGTAGGTGATTGGGTTTAAAAGTCAAAATGAATAAAATAGTCCAAAAAAAGTGGAAGAGGAAGGAGAGCTCAGTACAGTTATTTAACAGTCACTCTCGTTTGCTCAATTCTGAATCTACAGGGCAACATTTCATTGGTTTAAACTGGCAAGTGTGTCCTGCAGGCTTACCGTCTGATTGGATAAGAGGGAAGGCCAGTAGCATTTTGACACACACTCTGCATCTTAAACAGATAAAGGTGCAAACTTTCAGTGACACATGTATTTAGGGTTTCCACACCTGAGCGAAGGTACCAGAGCAGAAACGCCAACATGAGGACGCACACACTTTTGTCCCTGACTCTGCTGGGCCTGCTGCTGTGGGCCTCCTGCAGCCGGGCCGACGACACAGAGCCCTCACAGGCAGAAACACAGGAAGACACATCGAAGGAGTCAACGGAGGAGACTTCAGCAGAGGAGGAGGAAACCAAAAAGACACCAGAGAAAGAGAAAACAACAGAGATAGAGGAGGACACAGATGTGATGATTCTCCACATCAACAACTTTGCCAGAGCTCTCAGCGAGAATCAGTATCTACTGGTGGAGTTCTGTGAGTAGCTATGAATGATCCATTAATGATAAATAATCTATATGGTGCCAAGTACATTTCATCACATTCTTTTCTCCACCTGAGAGAACACATATTACATTTATCGTTGTTCTATTAGCACAAACGAAATCAGTGGCTAAATGTATTGACATTGAACAATTTTGTGTTTAAAGGTGTCAAGAATGGATACTTTCCTAAAAAAAAGACATGCAAACAAAGGCTGAAAACTTTAGGAATAACTTACTAAAGCGACCTCGAGGAAAGAATATTTATCACTGTCTTTTGATCTAGCCCCCATGAGGCGTTATCACACAAACACGTGGC